CCCCCCCCCCTCCTTCCCCTCTTTCCTCCCCCCACCGGCCCCTTGGACTGGCCTATGGGAAAAGATTATAACTATATTTATTATGTTTTCTCCTGATGTATCTAGAGGTATCAATCACCCTTTTCGCTTCCATCATTAACTACCACACACTAATATCTTCATAATGAGCATGAAAAGCTTGCTCGTTCTGGAATACGCTATCAAATTTTTTTTTTTTTCAACTCCGAAAACACACGATTACCAGTGCCGGTCTTTACTTATGCTAGAAAGTTCGCTTGTTTTAGTGCACGAACAAATGATCCACTGCCCTGACCTATGCGATACGTCCGAGCGTCGTAATAGAAGTGATCCGATACCAATATTTTATAACATAAACCTAAGCCACTTCAAACGCATTTGTTGCAAAAGGAAGAAGGAGCGAGTAACAAGGAAGCGAAGTTGGAGGCTCAACCCCCTTCGCCTTGTCCAGTTGCCCTTCGATTTCCTGTAGTATGCAAATGTCTCGTCTCCTGGCTCGAGTTCCCCCCTCCGTGATATTTAATGTGATGATTGAAAATGAAACTGTTATTGTAATTGTTGCATTTGGCGCTATCCAGAAGTGCGCAACGGCAGCTTGAAGCTGCTGCCAGGCAGATCTCGGGTTTGTCGCGTTCTCTTTAAATATTTTTTTGCGTGACTGTACTAATAAAGAAATGAGTCTAATTAATTGGTGCTGCTCAGCTGCCGGAGCGCTTCCCCGCAGGTAGGTAGGCACCCCAGCTTCAGCTTCTCCTTCGCCCGAACGTCACTTCAAACGCATTCTCTTCCAACTTCATTTGCCTTAGCGCATGTCAAAAAGTTTGTTTGTCTTAGCTTGGCAGTTTAACTGCCCCTAGTATATGTGAATGTAACGAAGTTTGCATGTACTTCACCTGTTTTGATACAGGTGGGATCAGCTGACATGCGCTATGCAGTTTCCCCCAATCTCACGTTAGGCTATTAGCTAGTGTTTGGAAAACTGTTTTTGCACATTACATATGCAAAAACAGCAATGTTTTTTACGATTACTAGTGAGATTGAGATTTTTATACTCCCACACCGTGCAAAATTTGGTGAAGATCCAGATATTTTAATCATTATAAAAGTTTGAATGTTAATTACCTGTGTCTGCGGTTTGTTGTGTCCACTGCTGAGGAGGAAGAGGTTCGGGCTTCCTGAAATGTACAAAAACTGAATCGCGCGCTTCGACATCAAATAATTTGAGGAATTTTCTTCATTTTGAGGTACTGTCAAAATCAACTGAACGGAAAGTAAGCACAATGTCCATCTGAGTACCAGTGAAGTCACTGTGCGTACACTTGTAGTGCAG